TTAATTGTAATTTTTTTTAATAAGCACCTAATTACCCAGCTACAGCAACAAGAACAACTAGCTCGAAACGCTGTTGCTGCTGCTGCTGCTGCTGCCGTTGACTGCGCAATTAATTGATATGTGCTTTGTGCTGGCCATCTACAAAGACCGGGCTAAGTTTAACACGAGCTGTTGCAAGGAGTCTCGACTCTCAACTGTTAACTACGACTGCAGGCAACTCGAGTTGCACGGTCCGCTCGCTTTAATGACCGCCTCTGTCGGAGACTCTGGATCCTTTTTTTTACGCTCCATGGCTACATAAATCCCAGGCTTAATGTGAAAGCGCACCGAAACAAAGCAGAAAGAAAAAGAAACAACGAAACCAGTATCAACAAGAGAAACAGGAGCAATGCACGTCGCAAGTTGCAACGACCGGCTGTTATGGGTCCTTTGTGCATGTTGGCCATGTCCTTGGCTGTGGCAAGTGTAGTTAGCGCACCTTTGTCTGCGACTGGCATCGTCGACATGAATCAAAAACTTAATTATTTTCAGCCGCACGATGGCAAAATGTTTTGCACAAACAAACAATTCAACAGCACAGCCACTGCCACACCAACAGCCAACAGCCAACAGCCAACAAACAGCAACCAACAACCAACAACCAACAACAACAACAATAATAAATCGTGAGCGTACATTTTGACGCAGCTCACAAAATTTTACAACTTCTCTGCAGCGCTACAAAATAGCAACAAGCATATTTACAGTCAATTTGTTTAAGACCCTCCTTGATTCCTCCTCAAACGAATTATATGAGGATTTCTGTGCGTGTTTACAAATCCATGTATGTGTGTGTCCTCTGTGTGTGTGTGTGGCTTGGCTAGGCGAAAGGGTATTTCGACTATGCTACATAGTCGGAGCGCCATAAATTTATATACACTTTTATGCCCGTTCAAATAAGAGTAAGAAGTATTTATTTTTAAGGAGACTTTCAACTGCAGTCGAAAGAGTTGAGTGAAGCTGCAGCATGCTTAAAAAGAAAATGATTTAATTATTAAAAATTAAATTAAAATTGATATCGGATTTAAGGCTTGACTGATAGCCTGTCTCATGTCTATTATTCGACTTTAAGTGATGAGATATACCAAAATTTAGTAACTAAGAATGATACCTAATTCTCAACACTGCCTTCACGCTTCTTGCTGACCTCGAATGTGTAAGTTGAGAAGAGTACTATCACAAAAGGCTGTTAAGAAAATATTTTCAGAGACGTTTACAGAACTGTAACATTAAGATAAATCTAATATAGCTGCGATATCATAAGAATATGTCTAAAATGCGAATCTTTCACATTCAGCGCATTTAAAATTAAAAAAAAAATATTTAATATTGAAGTTTTTTTTTCTTTATTTTATTAATAACAAATAATATAACAAATAATAATAATAAAAAATAATAACAAATTATAACATGTTATAGATAACTTTAAACAATTTCAAGCAATGGAAAAAAATTCTTTATTATTTTTAAAATTAATAAATTTCAGTATTTTGTATTGATTTAAACAGCTGACTTTTATATTCTCAAAAAGAAACACGTTTTGTATTTAAAATATATATTAAATTATTTTCAAGTGTGAATTAATATAATATAATTTCTCTTAATATCGAGCAAAGTCTCTTAAAAATGTATTTAGGTTTTCGAGTGCGTCAGCTTAGAATTAAATTCCACAGAATTTCTGCTCTCTCTTCCTCTCTCTCTCTCTCAGTAACTCGATGCTTTATGAATTGGATAAGAAATCAGGGAATTCAAGCGCCAAACTCTCGCTCATTAGTTATATTGATTTCATACCTAATGTCGGATGGATAAATTGTGTTCTGCTCAAGGTGTTGTTTGAGATTATCGCAAATAAATTCTTAAGATATCAAAAGCGATTCAAATTTCAGTTTTATTATTGCAAAACTTTGTAAAGTGAAAAGCAAATGTGAATCATTGATTTAAATTGTGCGCTTAACCGTTTATAGCGGCCACTGATAAGAATTTATTTATAAACATTTGCTGAATTATGCAGCAATTTACGTATTTTTATTGATCGCTTTCAAAAAATTTTAGCTATTTTTAACGCATTCATATGCCGTTGGGAGAAGAGTTCTCTGAGTATTTACACACATGTATAAGGAAATAAATATGTCTTCTAGTCCTTAGACCAGAGCCCACATAACATACATACTAATTGGAAGTTATTAACTCTGATCTATCGATATATCGCATCTTGAAAATATACCCCAATGTTCTTAAAAGCTTAAAGCCCTATATAGGCTTAAATATAATATGATATAAATAATTATAGTACATAATTAACTTTATTAGCAACCTCTTCCTCTTCTACAAAATTTGTATAAAATTATTGAACTTAAATACAATTTATAGTTTGATAAGATTTTTGTGAAAATGTGGAGAGCAGTTACAGCACTGAGTATTGAAACAGGGTTAGGGTATCTAGCAGTCAGCAGTTCCTATTTAGCTCTAGCACAACATGTAAAGTCTTGCTTATTGTAGGTTGAGCTTTTCAGCTCACAAATCAATAAAACCCTGCCATAGAATACATAGTTCCCTTTTATGGTGCATATTCTGGCCATAGCTTCGGGCACTGTCAGTGGCCGCATGGCAAGCGCAGGATAAATGCCACAGCAAGGATGAGGCACAACACAGTCCAGGCTCTTAGGTATGTTGCGCCACTCATAAACTTGTTACATTGTCAACCAGCTCGACGGAAAATGCGTGAAAGAAATTGCTTTCCGTGCCCTCGCAGCGCGCTCTGTCCGCCCGGACACCTTCCGCTTGACACGCTTTTTTCACGCAACAGGATGCAGATAAATCATGGTCGTGCTTTAAGGCATTCCTTTACGACTGCAAAGCGGTGCCCTTAAACGGTGCTTCATGGTGTGAGTGGTGTGAGTGTTACTGCCATGAAAAATTGCTTTAAAACGCCAACGGGCTAATAGACAGCCCCGTCAGAAATGCGATTACGCGTAAGTGCATCCTGCTGAAGCGCCTCAAATTGAGTTTTATGACTTAATAATGCGACAAGGCACAGAACACGGCCCTGCAATTAAGCGTAAATGTCGCTGACTGCTGGCTGCTGCCTGCTGGCTGCCGGCTGCTGGCAGCCACAAACAGCATCGCCAAGTGGCCACCAAGCTGCACGCACTGATTGAATTGCAGTTGATGTGGATGTTGCTTGGCTGGAAGTGTCGCCACAGGGAATACTGCGCGACTGCTGGTTGCTCTGCACATGAAAACGGATGCAAAATATTTCGCATTCGCAGTGCTTGCCACGCACAACAAAAAAAAAACAAACACACGCACACACACTCGCACACACCTATAGTTTCAAATGCTAAGGACTGCAGCCAAATCGCATTCCCTGTAAATAACCAACTACACAATACTCTACTCAATTAGAATGTCCTTTGTTCTTCTTCGTTTATAAATAAATTTGTCACTCTGAAACTGTAAGCACTTAGCAATTGCTCTCAAACTGTGGAGCTGTGGAAAGACTTGTTATGTTTCAGCTTGAAGGCGACTGAGAATGCTCGCACGACTTTGACCTATATTTTTAGCTTAATTAATTGAACTAATTTTGTTCCTTTTTTAATTTACCTGCAGCCTGCTGGGCGAGTGCTAAGATATGAGAATATGTTCAAAGTTCGAATTGCCTGCCTTCAATATTCCCCAATAAGTTTGCAACACGAATAGTGCACAAAATCAAATTATTTTTATTAAATTAAAGGCACAGCCTAAAGCTGTTTGTCTAGTCCTGCACAAAGTAACAAAACGAGTATATTGGCTTTGTGCCATCTCCGTCTGTCAGTCTGTGTGAATACAATTTGTACTCGTATGCTGTCTGATAAAGTGTTTATATATTTCGGGTGTCCCCTAATGAGAGAGAATCGATGATCGCAATATAAAATCTAATAGTAAAAGCACTTCTAGATGCAAATAAAAACTTGAAATTTGAAATATATCGTTGACTTAACTTGTGATCTCAGTATCAGTCAGGAAATTGGTAGCAAGCAAAACTCTATCAATCCAAATTTCACAAGAAGAATCCGAAAATAAAGTAAGAAATCAACCATGCTCACTGTAGGTGTGAGAAGTAAGAAAAATATATATACTTTACAATTTATAGATTGAATTATTTATATACTTTACAGTTTACAGTTTCATATCGATCACCGTTGATCGATAGATCTGCACACTAGGAGTACAACTTTGGAGCCATCTAGGCCCATTAAAGGAAAGGTTTTTACTCTGTGAAGCCAGCAGTTAAAGAGAGCCATAGATCTTAGACATGGGAAAGTAGTATTTAAATAATACTAGCATTTAGTATTAAAGAGTATTCTATATGCGATGTTAGGCATAGGCTGTCTGGTTTACTTGGCACTTCTTGCACACGCTTTTGCACTTGTCGTCGTTGATATACGAGTATTGCTTTGTAGAAACATTGTTTTTGTTGTTTTCTCTTTTTTCAGGCGAAGAGTTGTTGCTGTGGCTGTTAGTGGTGCTGCAAGGCCTGCTGTCGTGCTGGCTCTTGTTGTTGGCGACATGTAGTGGCAGCAACACTCGCCCCATTTCCACTTGAAATCTGTCAACTGCAACTATTTATTAAATTATATACTGGCATTGTTAAATGTGAATGGCTTGGCTAAGTGGGGGGCATGGGACAGACGGAGACAGAGACAGAGACAGAGACTGACACTGAGACTGAGAGTGTTCGAGGAACTCAGTGTTTCCGTTTCATAGTCCTACTGACAGCTTTTTGTGGAACTTAAAACATTTATAGACTCTCTATGTGACAGCCATTTTTCAAGTATTATGAAATATATCCGATTTCCTGTTTATTTGCTTACAGCTCGGCAAATCTCTGCAGGCCTCGCCCAAATCATGTAATAGACAACCTCATCTGCCGCTGCTCGACGTCGCTGTGCGGTATTAGGCAAATTGACAACACTTTAAAACGACTTTCAGCACCTTAAAGCCCGGCAAATATTGTCAAACTCGAGGATTCTCAACTGCTGCCAGCTGTCAGTTACTGGCATCCAAAAAAAAAACCCCCACTTGACGAGGAGTGGAAATCCACAAAAAACAGACACCAGGGCTTAGGCCGAAAGCAGAGCACCAGCCAAACAGTACAAAACAATGAACGCCGAGCAGGAAGAGGAACGTGTTTGCCTTAGGTGAGTTCGACACTGTCTGTGCGAGTGTGTGTGTGTGTGTGTGTATTAGATGTGTGGCTACCATTGTTGTTATTTAGCTGGCAATAATTTGACAATTTCACTAGACTTCACCTTGGCTTTGATTAAATTTGGCCATTCAATAAACATACAAATTGTAAGAGAAATAAGTCGATCTTTAAGTGAAGCTTCTGGTAGTAGAACTTGGGCCATTTCATTTCATTGACTATCTCTCTGCGCTGGCAACTAAATTGAATCATTTAATAGCTAAATACCGACATAAAAGATAAGCACTTGCCTGTAACATAAATCTGTTAATGGGCTGGGCAGAGCTGTTGCCCTTAACAGAGCGCACTTTATGTTAAGCGTAATGGGTTAACATAGAGACTCTGATGACAAACAGTGCGCGATTTATGTTAAATATAATGGGTTAACATAGACACACTGATGACACAATATGTTAGATAGAAAGAACAAAAAAAAAAGAAAGAACTTTGAACAGAACGACCATATTTCATAAAAATATCACATCCTAGTTAGAGTGAATTGCTTGCAACAGAAAAAAAATTAAAGTTTAATGAGCAGACTGAAACAGGATAGACCGAAATCAGTGTCGTCTATTAATACAGACCAAGTCATACGACATTCTTAGGTCAGCAATGTCTATTTGTACGCATTACACATTAAGTAAGAAATTATAATATCCCCGGCAAGCGTATAATAAACGTTTTAAGTTAATGTATTTAGGCGTTGTTTGTGACATATGGCCAGCGGCACAGTGGGCACGATAAATAAGTGTCCATTACACGCGCACATAATGCGAGATCAAGAAACTGCAGTTGCTGTCGTTTTCTAGTCGCTCTGCCGAGAAATTAAATATGATGGGAAGTCGCAGTGGTGTTTGTTCATCTATTAACATTAATCAATTAGATGCTGGCGACAGCAACAAGCTCCGAGACATAACAAAAATATTGTCGCAATGGCACTGTGAAAGGCTCACGAGCACAACAAAAGTGCCGACAGCAACAACAACAACAGCAACTATAAATGGAGCAACAGCAGCAACAAAGCGTTGCTATTCAATGTCAATCTCATATTTCAATTATGTTTTATAAATGGCAGCAGACAGACTGGCGGTGCTCTTTCTATATTGGTTGGTGTTTTGGCTGGGTCTCCTACTCGCCACTCGATGGCTTTATTGGGAAATGTGCTCAGAATTTAAAGCAAAACAGTCTTAAATAATCAGTTTCATTCCGGTTCATATCTCGGCATTGGCCGCCAAAAGTATGCAACAGAAATGTGCACGCTCGCTAAATTGCGCATACGCCCAGTTGTCGCTGTTAACTAACTGGTATTGAATAATAACAACATCTGAGCTGACAAGCGAACTGAACTTTAACCCAGTCCAATCGAAGACAAGGCAGACAGGCTGAGCAATTCAATTGAATAAATTATAGAGCTCAAGCAGCTGCAGAGGCTGCGGTGTCAGTCGTCTACTACTTAATTGTCCAAGTGTAGCTAAGAAGAAAAGTGAACTTTTCAGATTTCGCATGACGACATCTCGATTTCACAAACGCCCACAGCAGCTGCAGCTGCGAGCACCAGCAGACAGCAGACAGCAGCCAACAGCTCAAAACGTCGATTTGATTTTATGCTAATTTCTTTCAGCTATGCTAATTCTGTGGAGTAAACAACAAACTGCAAAGTCGAGAACAGCAGCTGGTTGATTGACTTGGCAATATCATAGAGTGACTTGCACTATTCAAAATTACAATGCCGACATAAACATTTTAGATCCCTATACTCTGACCATTCTATTCAAACTAGTTTAGTTAAAAAAAGTAACGTAAAAGTAAAGAATAAAGATTAGCAAAAATCTCAATTCAAGATCTTAATTTTGATCCACTTGAGTAGGGCACGCATGGAATTTTGCATTTAAAAAAACTAAAGAGAAAAAGCCTTGAACGAACACCCATTCAATTGCCCCGCACTGTATGCACAGGGTATATTACCGTCTAGTCTTGAACTGCTTGGCCTAGGTCCGTTTACAGCGCCGGCAACGAGTTTTGCTTTATGAAAGTGAATTTTGACTTAAGGGTAACTTTGCACAGGGTTTAGCGGCTCAACTGCTAGGCCGATTAAATGTCAGTTTGCATTAACGTAAGTTAAATAATATCGCTTATGCCACATAACTTTGCATAAAGTTCTTGAACCCAATTCATTTGCTTAGGTCGACCAGTTGCTGCCATCTGCCTTGACAGTTCGAGAGCTGCCTACGCTTATTGCAAATGTCAAAAATAAATTGAGGTTTTCCACATTTATTGCTCGATTGTTGCATCAAGATTTAAGAGACTTCAGAGCAATGGCAATTTATCAATTTTAATGTCTTTTGAATGGCCGACCAAATGCCTATTGCAAAGGACTGTTGTGTGGTGGTGCGCCTTATAAAGTGTCCACTTATACGGCTTATTGCCTTTTTCTTTTCGGCTTTCGGCTTTCGGCTTTCAAGAAGCTGTGAGTCGACCCAAACTCGACTGCGCACCACTTCAGCATTCAGTCAAACCAACAGACGGCGGCCAATGTAAATGCTTTGATTTAAGCGAAATAGTCCTTGGCAAAGGACATCAAAGCGCCCGACTTGGCTGCCTTGGCTTGTGGGCAACTTGAGCACATTTTATGCATAATAATGCGTAACACAAACAAAAAGGTTCAAACATGACTTTCTTATTCAAGCTGTACTCGCTTCTGGCCCAATCTTCTAGAGTTCCCGAAAACGTGTTAGCTGCCTTTCGACTAACTAATCCAAGCTGAAAATATAGTTATATATAGTTATAATATTTTCCTGTTCCCACTGCTAATGCGTGTTAAATATAAAAGGAATTATCTTTTGCGCGAATTGCAACAGAAAGGGTAAACCGGAACGTCCCCAATAGTCCCTTTCTTGTGTGTGCCGCTGAGTAATTTTTCTATTTTCTGCTTTATTGCGCCCTTTCAAATGCACACCCATGTTGACCAACGCAACAACATTAACCCAAATCCAGAAGATATACACACACTCCACGCACACACGCACAACTACAATGAGATTGGCCACTTTACCAAGTACTTCCACTCTCTCTTTCACTCACTATCTCTCTCTCGCTCTCTCTGGGTCAATGGCCGTGTGTAAGACGCCGTTTCGCCCGCTTGTCTCTTTCAGCGTTTTATTGTTTCGTCCTCCGACTTTTAGCTAAATGAATCAGCCGCACAGAAGTCAAGCAGAAACAAGAAAAAATTTCCTTTTTTTTTGCGAATTTGGCACCTGCTGCGTTTCCTGCGGCCATCATTTGGCAAGCATTTAAGCCTCTGCCGGAAATTAATTATGGCGACTCATCAACGTTATTTACATAAAATACATTAATTGTATACATATATATATATAGCTATATATATATGTATATATATATATATATATATACATACCTATACATTGCTCATTATGTTAATACGAGTTTCCTTTCGAGTTCATGGTTAAGAGTGAAAACGTGGAGAAATCGTATTAGGCTTGAGTAATCCAAAAATGGAAATATTTCTTATTTTTATCAGTATATTAAGTATTTCAATAAAATTAAGTAAGTTACAATTAGAAGAAAGCGACTGTCTGATACTCTTTCCCTTAAAATGTATTCAAATAAATAATATTTTCAAATATTAATATTTTCAGCACCTAAGGTTCATATAAGTCTATCTGCGGAGAAGTTAAATCTACTGATAATTGAAACTCAAAAGCACTAAAATTTTTTGTTTTATTTTCGATTTGCGTGGATAGGTTAGTTTTTATAAATCTCAACGATCTGCAGTAACTTAATTGTCCAAAACTTTGGAATATATTCCAAATTTCAAGACTCTAGCACCGTCTCTAGTATACCAGATACTTTGCTATCTAAACAGGTTATAGAAGGAGGTTTCCAATGGATAAATATGTTTCAAATTTCAAATCTCTAGCGTCAAAAGTGGTTATGAAATAAAAAGAAAAAAAAAACTATATACTATTTTTCCCTTTAGGAACAAAGTATAATAAATACTCGTAATAATAATACGCCCACAATATAGTCTATATATTGCCAATGCCAAGCTAAATGAAAATAGGTCTGTAGCATTCTTTTGTCTAACTAGAGGAACAATATTCAAATCGATTTGTCTCTGCTCACCTGTTTGTCCTATATTAAAGATATATATAATATTCTAAACTAGATATTTGCGCGTCAATCTTTCCATAGCATCGATATGTATATGTCACTCGATTCCATAACTCTGATACAGAGATTCTCTTAAGAGATTGTTCCACGTCTTGCGAGTCCTGCTGCAGTTGGGGTATTAACAAGTCGTACACACACTGACTGGAGCTAGAGCTGTCTTCATTTAAATTTAAATTAATTAAAGTGAAGCTTGAAAATGTTATTTAGCTCGTTCTCTTGGCTTTTCCTGCATGTTTGATTCTACGGTCAATTGTTACTGTTGCCTGCGTGGGGGGACATTCTTTGTTGGGATGTTCAGAAAATAGTTCGAAAACTATTTTTATGGGTTCTATGGCTGGGGTGTTTGAACCCCAGGCCTCATAGCTAGTTCAGTGCTTAGGGCAAATGGGAACAAGAAAATTAATTGAAATCAATCTTTATCGTCTCACAGAAGCACTTTATTATTGGCCGATGTAGTAGGGCACTTTTCGGCTGACTTCTTCCACATCCCACTCGCCACTTGCCACTATTGGCAGCTAGAGCTAATTATCTTTAAATATTTGTTTGACACTTTTAACCTAATGCAAGCCCAACACACTTGAGCCAGCCCAACCGCCTCTGCCCCGTTTCTGTGTTTGTGGTCGACACATGACTCAAGCTGATGCCACGCCCACCGCAGGCTAAAGCGCTTAATAAATAAAGTCAGCAGCTTGCGGAACATTGTTGTCATATCGATTGGAATTGGCCTTGCCTTAATTGTCGCTGTTGTTGTTGTAATTGTGGTTG